CTTCTCAGGATAAGAAAATAATATTTAGTATCATTCTCATATCAGTGAGATTCCTTTTGCACTTACTGGGTGATGCTGTTTCTCTGCTGGGTCATAGCCAATGAGAAGAGATTCAAATACCTTCTTATATCTGCTGTCCAGTGAAGGCTCAATTTCTGTTCTTGGTATTGAAATTAACACAAAGACACATATAAGCTTAATAATACAGACAATAGAGTTTGGGACATAGGTATGGGGCTAAACACAGGAATGGAGTCACTAAAGGGCTTGAGGCTAATTATTGATGAGTTTGTGACCTTGGGGGCTCAATGCTTAGAGCCCATAATTAGCCAGATTGGTCCATGCTGTCCCAGTCTCTAAGGATTTCTCTACTCTAACGGAAAAAGGAGACAAAAGAAATACAAATGTCCACAAGATATTTGGGGTTCTTCAACTAGTCAGAGAAAGCTAGTTCATCCTAATCACTTTTGCCATTTATATATACTTCTAAAATGGTGATTTGCTTATTTCATTTTTGAAATAAAATATGTATAACAAAAGTACACTTTTAACTGTGATTGGTATACACATTAATATTGTTGTGAGTCACTCAACATATGTCTTCAAGAATTTTTCATTTGCCAAACTGAAAAATTTATGTTCATCTTTAAATTCAGTCTTCGTCCTCTCAGCATTATACTACAAAATTAAAGCCATGGAATTATACTAACATAACAAAAAAGGCCAGAGGTCCTGGCATTCACTGTTCTTCTCTAGTCTCCACGGGGTGCTTGTATTTACTTTGTTACTCAGGCTGTGAGTGATTGAACACAGGGGTGGCCTTCTACACATCACTGTGGCTGTCATGCTTCTGGTAAAATTTAAAAGCTGAGAAAGTATATTGTCCAACATTTGTTCCACAAACATGCAAGTAACTGACACTCAGGACTAAAAAGTAGAGGAAAATATAATTTTCTATTAAATTATAATTTGAGGTGATGAAATAATTTTAATGAGAAATAATCCATAAGCTTGAGGGGCAAAACAATATGGCACCATCAATACTTCACTATGGTGCTGAGGGAGTTGTCCAAATAGAAAAGATTAAGGAGAAGGAAAGTGCACATACAAATTAGGAGCCCTTGATGTAAGTAAGATGTAGGACAATATAATTATACTTCTGGAAGTCCAAAGAGATAACGAAAATTAAAAATGAAAACTGTTTCTTCACAAAGGAAATGGTTTGTGATGAATGAGTAAGTAACTCAGTGGGTTACAGAGGACCGCAAACCATTCAGAGGCCCCCATAGTCATGAACACTGCATCCATACACCCAAAGTTGAGAAAAAGACACCTGTGTGAAACAGACCACTTAGGGGACGACTCTGCTCTGAGATTGGAAGTCCACAATATTCTGTGGGCCCATGGTGGAGATGAAACAGAGTCAGTCATTTTTAACTGCTGTTTATCCATTTACCTATCTTGGTATCTTCATTTCATCTTGATTTTTGTCTTTATCAGTTTCTTGGTTTCATATATAGTATTTTTGAGTATTTTCTGGAGTGCTGGTTTCACAGTCATTTATGTCTTGAACTGACCTTTTACATGAAAGATTCCTAATGCTTTTTGAAAGCTTTTTGGATATGTTAACCTGAGTTGGAAGTTGTTTGCTGTTTGGGGTTGAAATACTTCACTCCAAGTTCTTCCGGGCTTTAAGGTTTGTGTTGAGAAGTCTGCAGAAATTCCAATGAGTTTACCTTTATCTATAATTTTTAGTTTTTCTCTGATTTTAAAATTTTGTTTTGTTCATTTTGTTTGCCACCTGGCAATTTAATAAGAATATGTCTTGGAGAGGTACTTTTTTCAGTGTGGTTGTTTGGTGTTCTGGTTGCCTCACTTACTTTTATGTTGAACTCTTTTCTTATATTTGGGACAATTTCTTCCACAGTTTCTGTAAACATATTAATAATGCCATCTGTATTATTCTCTAGCTTTTCTACTACTTCACTTAGATTTAGGACTGTCTGTTTGGTGTCAT